GAGCTGTACTGAACGAAATTTCGTTTTGTATACATATATATATATATATATATATATATATGCTGAATACTGTATAAAATGGGGTTAAAAAAAGCCAAAAAAAAAGCACTGAATGTTGGAAAACTGTAAATCATCACCAGTCTTATGTTTACATTTGATCACCATGTTCACATTTTATCGCTGCTGCGTTTTAGAAATGGAAATGTCTTGAGCTGTACTGAACGAAATTTCGTTTTGTATACACTCTGTGTACAAAATGACAATAATGTCTATCTAAGTCTAGATATATAGATAATGAGCTGTATTGTTATATCCTAACACTATAGAGCTTTTTTTGACTGTTCTGTTCAAAGGTTCTTTATTTGGTGACTCTGTATGAGCAGCATCAGTACAATGCTGACTGTTCTACCCTCTCTAAATCACTTGACATATCTTGTAATTCAGACAGATAACCAAAATCCTGCACTGCGCAAAATATAGAGATATTGCTCAGGCTCCAGAGGTTATTTTATTCTCTATTAGTCTTCATTGTGTACGACAGAGAGTTGGCAGCAACTGACTGTGCACAGAGTCTTATGTTTCAGTCACTTTATGAACATCCACCCACTCACTGTCTCACTAATAACCCACATCTTGGTCAGAAGGTCGGGTTTATCAAATGCACATGCGAATTAAACTCTAAGCATGCGCCTTAAACCTTGATCTTATTTGCATTTGTGTAATAAGAAAACTCATTTGAGTTAAATCAGTTTCCTATTACTGGACTTTATGTGAAAATATAGCGAATTTGCTTTGTAATGATTCAAATCATGTAAAATAAAATTATGCTAGTGTCTGTTATAACCCATTTAGAATAATAATTTTAATATCTAATTGTTCCTAATGGAAAAAAAGTCACATTTAGATTAAGATGTAAAGCTAAATTGCCCATATTGTACATTAACAGCATAAACTTGATCCATTAGAATCGGAAAGATAGAGGGGAAAAAAAGATGCATTTAATTGCATTATAATGGAATGCTCTTTATGATGGGTTAAAACAAACATTGGAGGGAGAGGGAGGAGCACTACCACCTCATAACACTCCTAACTATAAGCGACACACAGACTTATGAGGTAAATATCGTGCTATGGTTGATTGAAAACAAATTGCCTGCGTAGATAAGGTGGTGGACCAGCCTTATAGCTGCGCTGAGGCCTTTTTCAGATTGTTTGAGCTGATCCATTAGTATCTGTCCTTGAGCTGCTCAGGGATATGATGTTAGTTATGCAACCTGTAAAAAAGTCACCTCCGGCTCCTGTCTTTCAGTCTCTGAACACTCAGTGCTACTTCCTCTGATGTACACAGGGAATAAAAGATAAATATGAAAGGGTTATGCTCCAGTGTAAACATGAGGTCCACTTCTTTTGGAATCTTGAATCCTTCTATATACTATTAATATATATATAATATATATAATATTTGGTTTTGTTAGGATTGTGTTTATTTTGCTTGCCCTTTCAGTCAATATGTCAATAGTCTTTAAAAATAGAGCATAGTAAGCCAAACGTCAACATGATTTCTCCCTATACAATTATATTAAGGTCATTTAAAATGCTTTCTCTATTAATCCTAATGCATTTAATTTGTCGATGCAAAAACAAACAAATAAGAATATTAAAGATATATAATAATTAAAATGAATAACACATTAGCAAAGAAAAACTAGATTAAATTGTATTTTTAGGCCTAAAGATAAGATTATTCTAAAAATAATGGAAGAGTTACATGTAATTCAATGAAAAAATGACAATTATTTAAAAAAAAGGAACGACAACAAATACTGCAGAAAGAAATAACCATCTTTTAGAAGGATTGATGAGAGAATTAGTTGCTATTTTATACCCTGATCATTAAATAGGGAGTAGCACTAATTCATTTTGGACTATAAGTAAAATACTTTTTTTTTTTTTACCTAGTGCTTTGGAAATTGTTTTATAAACTATATATTTTAATCATAATGAAAATAGGAAGTTGTTGGAAAGATAAAAGGGCTTTGCATTTCCATAATGATTGGTGTCACTTGAACATCCTTACGTTGTCACATGACGTTGTTAATCAAAGGGAGGTCACATGAAAGAATTTTAATTCACCAAAAAAAGGTTATGTAGATGTTGTCTATATTGCGGTGTAAAAGGGTTGCAAAAGAGAAGAAAAGAAAGGTTTAAGTTTAAACATGAGTGAAGCTAAAGGTTGAATTAGTAAAAAATATTAAACATCCTCCAACTACAAAATCCAACCTCTGGGTCGCGGTAGCTAAGCAATATACTAAGGTTAGTCATTAGCACAGCAGTTTTCATTATCAGTGTCCTTTTTTTGGCCACAGTGCAGCCAACTTAGTGACTTTGTTGAACTATTACTTAAAAAAAAGATCTATAAGGTGTTGCTGGAAACTTTGGCATCTCTTATATCCTTTAGGTTTTTTATTATCATGTTAATGACTTGCTGTCTCCACCACTGCCTGCTTTTTTACAGACAGCTCTGTCTTTGTGCACCAATCTTTCCTGACTTCAGTGAGTGCAGGAGATATTCATCTCTCCACCTGGATATGCAAAGTTGCCTGTTTGTTATTGTTGTAGCCTCCTAGGTGGAGCACAACATCAACAATAAATGTAAGGCAAAAATTAAACAAAAAAAGCAAAGTAAATCTCACTAGTGAGTCCCTTATTTGGCTTTCATTTGATGGTTTTAATTGCGTGTAAAGGAGAGCAGCACTTTATAAATTCAATAATATTTAGATTGTATTTTGCTAGGTCTTTATACACATATACTAGTTTTTTAATCTCCCCTAAAACATCCATTAATATGCATATGGACAAGAATCCACATTATGTGATGACCATGTGTCTGGCTCTTTTGTGGACAGATTAATTGACTTTAGGTGCTAAAAGGAGAGTTATCACAGCTCCTTCCTTCACAGCAGCTGTTAAACTTTATAACATCATACCTCCTAATTCAAACTCAAAACAGTGTTCACGTCCCTGCAATTATTTGCACAGTTTAGTTATTTTAGTTTATTTTCACAGAGTAGTTATTTTTTATGCACAAATATTCAGCAACATTTTGCATCCTCACATAGAAATCTAAG